TGTGTGTGTGTGTGTGTGTGCTGGCAGGGGGTTACAGATCCACCTGTTGCTGCTGTAGGGGCAAACACAGGTGGGTGCCAGGTAAACTTCGCGGTATTTACAGAGCGGCATTGATTTACGCGCTGACGACCGTCCTGTTCAATTTACTGAAAAAATCCCACAAGCTGCAGAATATCCTGGAAACTGGGGGGGGGGGGGGGGGGTATAGGTCTGCCGTTTTGAGCAAACAGTGAAACCAATGGCTTTGGCGCTGCGGAGTCACATGGTGACAGAGTGACACACCTGCGTGGAGCAGCGAGGGCCCTCACAGTTGCGCCAGAGACAGGTAGAGCAGAAGGTCCACGCCGAGGCAGGACGCACACTATACGGTACATGTGCGGGTCCTCGGGAAGCCATGAATCGGGAAGATCATTATTACCCGTCTCAGGTTTTTAAAGACTCCTGTGCCTTCCAGAGATCACAGGTGGAGGACTACAGCCACAGCCCGCCGCCCTGCCTCTACATGAGCAGGCAGGTGCACTCTGTCTACACACCGCCGTCCATGGGAGCCTTGGAGCAGGCCAGCCTTCCTGACATACCCTCTTACAGTTTACCCATGCGGGAGGATCCAGGTGTGCCTCAGCTCCACCATCCTCAGGGGCTCCAGCAGCAGCCTCTCCCGCCCGCTGCAGGCTATGGAGACACGGGGGGACAGAGCAGATATAACCTCCCTTTCCCCTGGATGAAAACCACTAAATCTCACTCACACACCTGGAAGGGACAGTGGGCAGGTAATTCTCCCAAGAGCTCTGCTACATACCAGCAAATGTAGTCTGAGGTCATTTGATTGTAGTCAAACCTGAAGCTTATTTCAAAGTACTCTGTTTACAATATTAGTCTGTAGTCATAGCACCGCTTTCTGAGGCCTATAATGACATCATGCTGCCAACAATATGATCCTGGGTGTTTCAGTTTACCTTGTCAGTCAATTTGTGAAAGCCCCGGAAGGTCAGAGCTTGCTTTTATCAGGTCTTATCGTCACAAAAAATGTGGGTTTTGTCTATACAAAACATTTTCACAAACGGCCATATCTTAAACCATCAATAGGCGGAATGCTATAGAGTATAATGGGCCTAATAATAGGTATAACACCCAGATGTACCACAATCGTTTGTGATTGATGTAGGCTACATGAAACAAATACCTTAACAGTGAATTGTTAGAGTTTGCTTTCATCAAATCGTACAGTTTAAACTGAATTACTGAATCATTTCATTTATAATTTATATCTTTCTGATCAGACTAGACAGTTGGCTTTAATTATCGGCCTAACACATTTAAGTTTTCGAAAGAGCGTGTTTAAATAAAGACGTACGAGTAGTTTCCTCAGCTACAACAGACATAGATAGACAATCTTAGTTAACATTTCTTAGTTCTGTGGCATTAATTTAATATAAACCATTTTAATAATCGATTCACACTCCCGAGTCCTCTCCTGTGACATTGTGGCCTACTTTTGGCTTATTTTTCGCTCCGTTTTTGAGAATGTTAATAGTGTTTCGAAAACATGTCAATGACTTTAATAGGTAACAGTTTTAAAAAACACAATTCCAATAATTAGGCAATTAACTTTTCAAACAGACAATATGAAGAAATTGTTTCTTGTAAAGAAATCTTTTGTTGTTTTTAAGTGTGAAGGCTAATAGAGTGGACGCCAAGGGTCAAAGCTGCCAATCCTGCCCGATAAACAGGCGTTTATATTCGCCAATGGCAACACACGAGTTTTACATTCACAAATAAATGGTTACACTTAATTTGAATATTAAATAATTAAAGTAGAACTGTTCGGGTAGAGTCTCAATTTAACTTTCAATTTGAATCAACACAAATCTTTTGTTTCACATCTCTCCCGCTCTGACAACAGTGATTTACTTACAGACTGAAACAATTAAAACGCACCACGTAGCCTACAAATACTCATAAAGTTAACTGCAATAAGTTATGTTTTTGTCCATAAAATTTATACTTTTTTCAGATTTATTTTTTAAATTTTCTGATGACAGTTTGGATATGTGGTGAGATTTGCAAGGCATCGGTTATAGGACATTCCTGAACTGAGTGAGTTCATTAAACCTCATCGGGTTGAGAGAATCAGGAGGTCGCGGGCAATGAGGAGTAATCCGGAGGCTTTATAACCTCTAAAAAGTTACTTGTTTCACTCTCTACACACTTAAAGCTTTTCAGCCAAAGGAAAAATAACCTTTGCGCGCAAATCTCAGTCAACTAAACCACATCAAAAAGATGTGCCCTCAAATTTATCACAAACTATTTTATCATTGCAAACTCTTTGTCATTTGTAAAATCTGATCACTGGTATTCATTTTACACGTGGGTCACCAAATGTTACCATAACCAAAAAATCTTAATCTACAAAAATAACACCCTACATCTTAAAGATCTGCACTAAACAGGAATTTATTGGTTTAAAAACAATACATATTACAGCTGTAGAGTCTGCTCGTATCACCTGTTGCTTCCAATTTACAGTAAGGAAGTAGGCTAGGTCTATTTTTTTGGCAAATGTAAAGTAATTGTAAATTCCTTGTAACAATTACAGGTGAATACATGTTTATTTTACTGGCTATCATAAGACAAATACACACTGTGGTTTCTGTAGGTGCCTGTAGTGGTCAAAATCTAACCCATGCACTCATAATGAGGCCTATTTCCATTAAAAAACACACTTTATGATCATTATTTATTAGTATTATTTAAGAATATATTGCTAATAATAAACCTTCAAATATACGTCGATAAATGTCTCACATCCTCTTATTAGTAAGGACCCCTCTGTCTGTCTCTAGGACCGTACGTGATGGCGGAGACCGAGGAAAACAAGCGCACGAGGACGGCCTACACGCGCGCCCAGCTGCTGGAGCTCGAGAAGGAGTTCCTGTTCAACCGGTACATCTCGAGACCGCGCCGCGTGGAGCTGGCGCTGACCCTGAGCCTCACCGAGAGACACATCAAGATCTGGTTCCAGAACCGGCGCATGAAGTGGAAGAAGGAGGAGGACCGGAGGAGGGCGAGGGGGGCCGACCCGGACCAAGACTCCTCCATCACCTCTGGAGACCAGGGGGAGGCCGCGGGAGGGGTCTCCTCCACCAACGGACCTCACACCACCTCCCCCCCTGTGTCCCCGCTGCACGGTCACTCCCTCTCCGCTCCTGGGTCCAGAGAGCCAGCGTAGACCCGCAGGAGGGGTCTCTAAAGACTGGAACTTAAACTCTTTAAAATCCAAGTTTTTATAAATCAGCCCCACCCGAGAGGATTTCTATTTTTAGGAAGCATAAGATTCAGAATTAGGGCGATAATGGATAGTTAAGGGTGTGAGATGGCATTTAACACATGGTGCTAATTTTCCAGGGACCCCCCTCAACTCTCTCTCAAGGACAACCTTAGACCTCCTTATTGGATACCACTGCCTGTCATTTACTGGACTGAACGGACACTTCTGCATCCCACCAAGCGTTGAGGTGTTTTGGGCGCCAGATGGCATCCTGAGACAACCAAATCATGCAAGGGACCCCCCCCCCATTATTAGAGACAGCAACGTGGATTCAGGTGTTGCAGGGTCTGATCACGTTTTACAGTGCATTATTTTTCACCTCAGACCTGTGAGTAGCACACAGCCAAGTTTATAAATGTATATATGTGTAGTATGACTGTATTGTCCGGATGTCCACGTGTACATATATCATGTAAAGTCTTAAATTAGAATCAATGATACACATATTTTATTGTTTGAAGAATTCATTGTACAGTATGATGGATGAATAACTAAATTTGGAATAAATCAGATATCAAAGCCTAAACAGGGAACAATGACGGTCTTTGCATGTGGTTAAACTGGCGCAGCAGAAATCCAGTATAAACTCCATAAGTCTATAACTTCCAGTATAAACTCCAATAATTAAAGATATAACTTCCAGTATAAACTCCAGTAATTAAAGATAAAACTCCATATAAACTCAGTAATTAAAGATATAAAACCTTCCAGTATAAACTCAGTAATTAAAGATATAACTTCAGTATAAATCAGTAATTAAAGATATAACTTCCAGTATAAACTCAGTAATTAAAGATATACTTTCAGGTATAAATCAGTAATTAAAGATATAACTTATGGTATAAACTCAGTAATTAAAGTTCATAACTTGTTGGGAGCGTCGATGAGCACGAGACCTTGGAGACGCAGGTGACATATCTTCTTCACCTCCTGGATGCCGCGCGCCCTCTCCACCGCGCGCTCGTTCCCGCAGCGCTCGCTCAGCTGCAGTAATATGTTCCTCTTGTCGTTCATCCGGGCGCAGATGACAAACGGGAACCCGAAGCGCTCCTTGTACTCCTCGTTGAGCCGGGCCATGCGTGAGGCTTCCGCGGAGTTCAGCGCGTCCATCCCGGCTCCCGTCTGCTCCTCCAGCGACTCCCGGGTCAAGGTGCCGCTCTGGAGGTCCCTGCCCGCGAGGTCCGGGTGACACCTGAGGATCCCCTCTTTACCTGGACACAGTTTGTAGCACCAGGGGGCCATTACGCGCAGAGAAAATATGGACAAATCTAAATTAAACACACAAAATATGAACAATTACCAAAATAAAAGTCTGCGTCTCACCTGATTCTGGGAGAGCATCGATGAATTCACTGATTGCAGCCTCCAAAGCGGTGAAGTTCACAAAGGGGCGCCTCGACCACACAGCAGCTGTTATAATGGGACATTTCTCCACCACGTTGCCAAAAATATTCACAAAATCCTCGTAATGAAGCGCATTTACCGTGGCGAGGTCCATTGCTCATGTGGGGACACTCCAGTTGTCGCACAGGCAGCGTTTATTGACCCTCGGACAAGGGTTAATGCACGGTTGGACAAGCCCCCCAGCGCCTCTGGCTGTGGTTAATATTTTCTTTGTCAGATCCACTGCCAGTCATTTTGACGATGAATAGAAGAGTTTAAAGACAAGTGATGTACATTTCAGGCGTTAATTGGCTCCTCCAGCATGCAGACTCTGATCTTTGGCGTCTCCTGGCGCGTAAAGAGAGCAACTGGTAGTTGCAGGGGCGTGGTGGTGGTGGGGGGAACCCAAGAAAACTAAACTCATCCACCTCTCTGAATTCACTGAGTTTACCCACCTCTGTACACCTGTGTACAGGTATGATAGAGGTCACAAGATGATCGACTGGATAGTGAATTAAAGAAACATGTAAGAATTCAATCTTTTCTTGTGAAATACTGAATAGTTATTCATCTTCAGGCCTCTGGAAATTGCTCAGATATATCATTCTGAGAGGCACAAATCACTTTTTGGTTGAACTGTTAACAGACACATTAAACACATGACTTTATTATTTACTTTATTATTATCATGTCAAAGCCAAAGCAGTTGAGAACAACTGACCTATACTGGGGTCACCAGGTTTTCTGTCAAGTACATTTTATTGTAGGTATAATGCTTAATACAAAAAGTAAAAAAAAGATCCATTAAAATATTTCATAATATATAAGTAAAGCTTGTTTTTAAAAAACATTTGAATGTGTACAAAAACTGCTCAGTCAATCTGTAAGTAATAACCGCTAATATAAGAGACCACAACAAACAACAATTACATTCTATTGCAGAACAATATTTTAAGGCAAAAGGTTGTTTCCATATGCATTATAATAATAAAGTATAAAATAAAATCTAAAACCAAATATTGATCAGTTGCTACAGTGTAGGCCTAAAGTAGAAAGAGGTAAAGCTCTATAGCTTACATGTCAATATATGTATGTTACATATGATTCAAGGAAAACAGAAATACTGTATTTACATTCATACCACATTGTCATCGTGAAAATAGAATTTACTGAAATCCCATATACATAATTAAAACCTTTGTATGTTTGATTGCAGGTTATGAATCGTTATGTTAATGTTAAATGAATGCTATGTGTGGCGCCCTATGAATAAAGGCTGAGTCCTTGCTACTGCGGCCATGGGTTTGAATCTGACCTGTGGCCCTTTGCTGCTTATCACCCCCCGCTCTCTCTCTCTTTCTCCGCTGTTTCCTGTCACTCTTCAACTGTAACTATCAATTAAAGGCAATAAAAGCCCCCCCAAAATATATGTATATAAAATAAAATGAATGCTACATATGTTTACTAAGTCTAAAATGAAGTCTAAAGATGAGTATAAAGCAAGAGCATTCTACTGTAAATATTGAGATTATTATTATCATGAGAACAACTTTGTTATAAAATGTGGAAAAAACAAAGTGCAAAATAACTTTTGTCCGCCAGCCAAATGGATGTAAATGTTAAACTTTTAAACTCTTTAGTTTACCACCATTTGGCTGGAGCTGATTTTGTGTCCTGGATGAACAAATGCTTCCAGTGATAAGGTGATGATCACTCTGCATCCGATGGCTTCAGAAGCTCGTCCTCAGCTGCCACAACATCCGGGTCGGACATTCCCTCTTTGCTTTCTTCAGTCGCGTGGGTTCGATGGTAGTCGTTGGCCGACTGCGTCTTGCTCTCACTCTGTTTTGCCAGGGCGGAAATGTCCAAAATGGTCGATGCATTCTGGTATTCACTGGGTGTCTGGTTAAGCATGTTGTGGTAGATCTGAAAGAGGAGGGGAGGTTGATTAGGAAAAGGAGTAGATAATAATACTGCTTATAGCTCAGATGTGATATTTACATAGGATAAAACTCTGCTTTAGATAATAGTTTGTTTACAGGCCTACCATCTCCTCTCTGTCTGTCAGCTGATCACACATAAAGGACACCAGCTTGGAGAAAGATGGCCGGTTGCAGGGATCCAGAGCCCAACATTTACACATCATCCCGTACCTGGAGAAGAAAAGAGAATATATAATCACTGTTACTGGAAGGAGTTTATGTGTAGGAAGCTTCAAAAGCAGCTGCACTACTGTATTTGTTTGCTTTTGACGTCAGTGGTGGGAGAAATACTCAGATCCTTTATTTTAATTGAAAGAACCAAAACTACAATTAAAAAATATTCCATTACAAGTATAAGTTCTGCATTCAGAATCCTACTTCAGTATTATCAGAAGAACGCACTCACGGTTGGGCGGTTCAGTGTCTAACAAAAAATCTTAATAACGACAGTTCTTGCTACAGTTGAGTCCTAAAAACAATTTCCTGTTAGTGCACTTAGTTAAATCTGTTTTTAATTCATATAAACTTGTATAATTGCAGTACAGTTATGAAAAAATAAACTTTGAGAATTGATTTGCATTGAAAATAGGCTGAAATAATATACTGCGCTGGTGGATTGTTTTTATATTGAACTAGTAACGAGTTCTTAAACTTAAATATAACTGTAGTGCTGTAAAAAATATAAAGTAGCAGAAAATAGTAACAGAAACACTAAAAGTGCCTTCAAATTGCACAGTGGTTAAGTAAATGCACTTAGTTAGGTTCCACCACTGAATCAATCATTAAAAAATCTATATCAGCATCTATCAGCATGTTAACTGCTTGTTAACTTTATCATGACAGTGTCTGGTTTTGAATCTATCAATACTGTGTCCATTTACTAGAGAAACACAAGCACTGCATACAGACTGAAGACACGTACACAGTCTCGTCGGCGTAGTATGGACACTCCATCTTAAATCCTCTCTCAATCATTGAATAGAACGTGTGATCCACCTTCATCCCCGGGTACGGAGTAACACCTAAGACCAACGGTTAGACAGACAGAGTTGTTGTTAATAATTGTGCAGGAATTGATTGCATGCATGTTTTTTTTAAATGTATGGCTCGTAGAGAGTGTTGGGCGAAGGCTACCAAGTGAGAAGATCTCCCAGAGCAGAATGCCATAAGCCCAGACGTCGCTCTTCATGGTGTATATCCCCTGAAAGGTACTCTCTGGTGCCATCCACTTCACCGGCAATCGCACCTGAGAGACAGCAGTCACCGTCATAACGTGTAAGAAGTGATGAACAAATATCCAGAACTTCTGCAATAAATGATATAAAAGTATCATCTGACATACATTTCCTCTCACAACATAGTTGGAGTCATTTTCGATGTCCCGAGCCAGTCCAAAGTCACCAATTTTCACCAGTCTGCCCTTTGTCACTAACACATTTCGAGCTGCCAGGTCTCGATGGATACACTGCAGACAGACAGGACCAATCAACAGGACATTTATCATATAATCCACAAAGATTTATATAACTTCAGTTTAATTTTGATGTGTATCTTCACTGGATTAAAAGTGTTAAGAGACATTTACGTTCTATAATGTCTGTAAAGATGTAGCTAAAACATACCAGCAGTTGCATATATGATAATAGATTAAGAAAGCTTTTTAAAGAATTTATATGTTTTTCATATCTCTGATCTAACACTGTATATGTTTGTCCATTTTACTATAGAAACATGGCGGTTAATTGTGGCGGCCTCTGTATAAGGCGACCAGCTATCTCTGTAGATATAAAAGGCTCATTCTAAGGTAACAAAAACATCTTTTCATAAGTTCTGATTATTTTCTAGTCAAGTATGTAAGTGAAAATAGCCAAAAACATATTGAAAAATTAATTTAATTTCATTAAGTGAATGTCTTCAAATGCTTGTTTTGTCTGATTAACAGTCTAAAACCCCCAAATGACCTTAATGATTAATCAATCATCAAAATAGATGTCAATTAATTTTCCATTCATCAACTAATCCATAGTTTTTATCTGCTGTTTGTTTCGGCTCTGGTGATGTTGTTGAAGCTAAAAAGCATCAACTGTGTTTCTGTGTGTCTGGGTAGACAGTGTGTGGTTGACAGATGTGAAACATCCCATACATTCTTGGCGGAGAGGAACTCCATGCCCTTGGCCACTTGGTAGGCAAAGTTGAGCAGGTCATCAAAGGTCAGGGTTTGCAGGTCCTCTGTCGGATCATCTTGGTTTTCATAGATATCCAAGTCTGCAGATAAACCGGGATCAGTTAGGAACACAGTAGATGTTAATATATGTGTTTGTTTGACGACATGCATGTTCTGACTGCAGATTGTATTTTTCCACCTTCAAAGCTGTCCATGCCTCCAGAGTTGAGGGTGAGGAGGGCGATGTCCTCCTGCCCTCTGGTGGTAGAGCTGTGCATGGTCACATAGGTGTCCATTGCTGTGTCGGTCACACTGAGAAAACACAAACGTCACAGGATTGTTATTGTGATGTGACTTCCAGCAGAGTCCTTTTACAAATACCCTTTGTCTACCCTTGTTGCCAATCTTTTCCCAATATTGTTCTCAGAGTATAATCATCTACAATTTCATATACAATCACACACAGCACAACAAATGCTGAATTTTGTCTCATCTGCATTAAACCTAAAGTAGGAGCAGTGGGCAGCTGCTGTACACCGCTTGGGTCCAGCTTTAGATCTAAGCCAGTGCCTTGGTTAAAGAGCACTGACTGGAGAAATTACCCTAATAGACATGTTTTAATGTGTTCTTCCCACCCACTTTTATTCCCGTATTCCCACCTAGGGCTTTTCTTGGGCTGCAGGTTGTGGTAAAGGCTGCTGAAACGGTCCTTGTTGAAAGCATCAGTCACAGACTTGTGGTAGTGCTCTCTGTTTTTCTTTAGGTAGTTCAACAGATCTCCATAACAGCAGTACTGGAAAATCAGGTATATGGGTCCTGTACAGGGAAGACAAATAAAACTTATTAACAAAACTTTACTCCGCCCATTTAGCATTTTTATATACATTCTTATTCTTATAGAGTGTTATTTGTCAAATGTGTAGATTAGTGCATATAAAGACAAAATATGATTGCAATGAGTGTATGCAAAACGTGTTGTGCGTGTATTTGTATCAGCAGTGATAAACGTACCTGTCTCCGTGCATGCTCCGAGCAGGTTAACAATGTTGGCATGGTGACCGATGTGAGTCAGCATCTTGAGCTCTGACATCAGAGCCTCCTTCTCCACGTCCTGGTGTTTTTCTGCAGGGTCAAATACCACATCAGCTGCTGAAATGACCATTTTGCAACATTTTCATGCACAGAATAAATATATGAAACACTGACCTTTGAGCATCTTGACGGCCACCTGCTGTGAGACTCCAGGCTTGTTGATGCCGTAAGCTGTAGCCTGGACCACCATGCCAAAAGCCCCGGAGCCCAGTTCATCACCTGGGGAGGTGATTTAGATTTTTGCTCAGGCAAGTGTAACTTTATTGGCACATTGTAATGTAACTGGGGACAATAACATCAAAAAGTCTGGAAGTGGTGGAATGCAACTACAATTAATCAAGTACATTATAAGTACAGTAGTTTTTAAGGACTGTGCTTGACTTGATGCTTGATTTTTATTGTTATTTTTCATATTGAGGATTTAGATGTAAAATAATATTGGTTGAGTTTATAATTAAACAATGTACTGTTAAAGATTAAACAAGTTTTACCAAAAAGGCAGTGTGTAGTTGGGCCTTGTCCCCCTTCAGAAGTTCACCAAAAGAGGATTTTTCCCTCAAAACTTCTCACATGGTTCTATTTAAAAAACTGTTAAAGGCCAAATTTAGTCTAAATGTATGTAGCGCAACTACTTTTCTCTCCCGTCAATTGTCTCATGACCCCTCAGACTGAGGTTGGGCACCACTAGACTAGAGTAGGTAAAACCAGCTACAACAGTAAAAGGCTGCTTATACCTTGATGCATCAGTATTAACCATTTAATATTTTATATCAGTCACAGGAGCTGATTTTCTACAAAATTAGTGCTTTTACTTTTAGTAAATTTTGTTGATAATAATTTTGCCCCTTTAATTAAGTATGTTTTAATGCCACTGAAGTATCATGTCTAATGCCTAGTGTAATTACCCAGTTCCAGGTTCTCCCTGGGAAACTCCAATTTCGGGTCGTACGTAAAGTCCTTGAAGTTAATGTAGATGTAATCGTTGTCATTGGGTCCAACCATCTGGATCATCTGCAGCTGGGGCTGATACTTGGGTCTCTGAAACACAAAGGAGTTGGCATCATATCCTCATGTGTGTTTGTGTTTGTATATATGTGTGTTTATGTGTCGATGTGTAATATATATACCTTCTTTCTGACAAAGTACGTGAGCACCACGCAGACTACTGCCAAAGCCACAAGCAGAAGCAAACTGCCTACTTTCAGCATCATCAAGCTCTCATCATTATTTGGATCACCTGAAAACAGTGAGAAAGGACAGTTTCTAATGGCAGTCTTCAAAAAACAATTTACTCTAATTATTTTGTTATATGAAATCAGTCTTACTGCTGCTGACGGCCAGGAGTGACGGTAACCGGGTTATTGCGTGTTTAGTTTCGCACCAGGTGCCAATTGAGTTTGTCAGGCAGAATCTGAGTTGGTCTCCCTCCACTAGCTCGCTCCTCAGAGAACTCCTGATTGTCTTATTACAGACGGCATCAGAGTCTGTTTGAAAGGCATCTGGGATCTCTGTCCAGGAGGAGTCTGTGTCACAACTGCTGTGAGACAAAGAGCAGGGACTTGAGAAATCTGAGCATGTATGCATTTCAGTGCCCTCTGATCTGAGCAGATCTGACAATGAGCATACCTGTCATTGACTGAAGAACAAGACTTCCAGGTATAATATGCTGGCACAAGACTCGCAGTCTCAAAGGTGAAGGTATCATACGTAAACCAAAATCTGAATTTTGGTGTGTCTGAAACAAAATCAGTTTATTTAAAATACAATTGTACATTTTACAAGTGATAGCACTGTGCAGAAGTTATATTAATAAAATCTCTCTTACCCACAATACACACTGATATAATCTTTGTTAGGCGTTGTTCTCCAGCCTGCAAGTGTAACTTATAATCTCCTGATATGAGTGGAGCACGTAGTTTCACAGTCCTAAGAAGACAGTTAGATAGCACACATTTATACAAATATAAACCATAATAATATATCTCACGTCACATGATTATATTTTACAGAAGTAGTTGTGTATTAATACTCATGAAATGAAAAGAACTTAAACGTCTTAAAATCAAGTTCAACTGCAACAACATTGCTTTATGCAACTACCTGTGTTTTGTCACCCAGTCGTCCCTGATGCATTTAGTCAGAATATTATTAGGAGCTTCCCATGAGCAGTGCTGGAGCACCGGGTGGTAGGAAACACTGGCTTCCAAAATCGTTGCATTCTGAGCTAGTATGATCTTGCTCTCACCCAGCTGTACAGAGACGAAATCCTCAGCTAAGGGCAACACAAGAATAAAATCAATATTAAAGAGTACAAATGGACCAAGAACTATATATTGGTAACAGTAACCTGCTTTAAATTAATACACACATTCAGAGAGAAATAATGCAGTGAAATTAGCTGTACTGACTTTGGACGTGAATGTAGACAGACTTGACACGTGTGTTGTCATTACACCTGCAGGTGTATGTGCCAGTGTGGTCCACACTAACTGATTCGATGAACATGTAGGCCATTTTAGTCCCAGAATGCGAGTCATTTTTAATGCAGATCTGGGACAAAAACATTATTATTTGAGTGGGAAAGATTCTTCAGTATGTGGAAAGAACTCAAATTCAAAAAAATCTCAGTGGTCTCTACTGTACCTCCTCCTTCACTTTAGAAGGGCATGCTAATGTTTCTGCATCCATTCTTTCGCTGCCCTTCTCCCACACAGGTGGCGGTCGCCAATAGTCGCCTATGCGGCAGCGAAGCAGTAAAGACTCACCAGGACTCACGGTTACATTAGGAACCTCATGTGAGTCAGTCTTTAGGTCTGAAACACACAGTAGCACCTCAAGTCACACAACAAACTTGACAGTAAGGTATTTTTTTAAATGTACCTATTTGATATGGTATGATTATAATTAGCTATTGGGCTGTAGGATGCTTTTCCTCAAAACCTTTCAGGTGGTTGAAGTCCAAAATTGAGCAAATTATCTTCATTCTGTACTAATTCATTATGAATAACTCTTGTACAGGATGTATGTCATGAATATCTTTAAATATTTAATTACCGTAGTCATACAGTTGGGAGCATTCTTGTCCTTCAGCATTTGTAGCACAGCACATCATTCCAGTATTATAATAAACAACACTGCTTTTTGTAATCTGTACCTTGTCACTGTCTGTAGCAACATTTTCCCATTTGTTGTTTCTGTTCAAAGAAGAGAGAAAAATCATTATTCAGAGAATGATACTATAATAAGATGTTCTTTTTAATAAGGTTACCGTCAGTAGACTACATCAAACGTACTCTGTTATGCATACAATGGATAACATCTTACCCAGACAGTTCAAGCGTGGGCTTTGGGCAGCCCTCAGAGATGCATGTGAAATAAGGAGACTTGTTTTGTTCCTTCACACGCTCCAGGATCAGCTTTGGTTTTGTGGGACGTTCTAGAAAAAGAAACAGTTTTATTACCACTGATTTATCTGTATCAGACGGTCTAGTGTTTGTGTTGCTGACTGAGCATTGTAGAGATGTTACTCACTCATTGCTACATGAAGAGACACACTCACTGAGGACCTGGTCTCACTGTTAGTTTCACAGCTCAGTGTGTACTCCCCTGAATCTGTCTCAGAGAGCGGTGGTAGGACCATGGAGCTACTCCCGTTTCTAGTGATGATTCAGGAAAACCCTTTGTTTATATACACACACAAAAAACAAAAAGGGGGGAAAAACACTTCAAATCCACACACATAAATTCACTTACACTGTGAGTACTGGCTCTGTTCCTCTGATCCAATGACAGGCTTTGTATGCAGGGACGTGCTCCAGAGGGATATTGAGTTTCTTACCAGCACACACCTCTACGTGGACAGGACCAGGTGCATTAAGATAGTCAGCTGGCACAAAACATGCCTCCTGGAAGACAAGACTCACCGTTTAATCCTCCTGTTTTCAGTCGCATTTGGTGCAGTAGCGTAAAGATTTTGTATGCATGTTGCAAGAACAATATCAGATATAACATTTACTATTTGATGTCTGTGCTTTAATCAATCAATCCTCTGCAAGTGAATGTTTTAGTTTATTAACTAATAATCTCATATTCTTTACATTAATGCTAACCATTATTCAGGACTTATAAATAGGTGTTTTGACTTAGAAAAGTGCTAAAATCATAAACAATGGCTCCGTATTCAAGTGACCCAGTAAAGTCAGCTGGGTGTGACAGTGAGCCAGCGTGATCGATACCAGGACCCAAAAACTAAAGCAGCTAAATGGAAATCAGCCATAATTAATTTTGTTATTTACACTTGTGGTTTTCCTGTAGTATAATAGTAATAACTTGCATTCTGCTTTTTACGGGTCTCCAGACTGTTCTCTTTTTAAAGGCGACCTCTTGCTGCTCTGCAGTTTTGTTTTACTGTTTCACATGAGTCCATTATGTAAACCATAGTAAGAACTAAAGACAATCAGAGTATCTTTGTTTTATCTGGTAGTGACAGTCTAGCTGAGGCAGCATTTTATATCAATTTCTGCACTTTTTAATCTCATTTCCTGTACATTCACAGCAGCATATCAAAGAATACAATTTTCCCTTAACACAATAAGGTTTCAGAAATATATAGCATATCGTAAATACTGGTGCAAATATTAATTTGATTTGTTCAGCTGAAATATATTAAAGATTCTAGCAGTTTTTACCTCTTGACTGGGTGCGCAGGTCTGATTCCGCGCTGCCACAACACCAGAGGAGTGCAGCTCCACAGCACACAGCAGGAGGACCGCTGAAGAGACAGAAAACTGTAACTTTATTTCAAATCTTTGTCTACATTTTCTGAATAGACAATGTGAAAAAAAAGGCACATAGATGATAAATGCAATTGTAGAAGATAAGATAGTTCCTTAGTTTATGTCTTTTCAGTTTACTGCATTGGTTAAACAGTATACACTGTAGAGTGACAAACTATAGTAGTATGCTAGACTAGACTATTTAAAAAAACAAAAACAATTAAATGAAATTAAAACCCTAATTTTCATTATTCTTACAAGGCATCATGTTTCACTTTGCATCAGAAAGAGTAGGTTAGACACTTTTGACTGTAAGGTTCCTCATATTGTTGAACTACAGCTGAATGTTGATGTGAACCAAATGTTTAATAATAAAACATGTATTTCTAAGACAAACTAATAATTCCTCCATAGACTTAAACTCAAAAAATGCAAAGTAAAATATATCATATATATGATGCGTTTTTAAAATTACAAACTAAAACAGCCGAAAAACATATAAATATGTAGAAAAATCGTTAAATTCACGCCTCAAATAAAAATAGTTTTACATTCCCTCTGATTGTGCAGTTGCAGTAACTCAGAGTTGAAACGATCCGGACTCACCCGCAATCATATTTCTGTGCCTCGGCATTGATGCTTTGTTTCTGTCAGTGTCACATACTCATTAGCGGGTCAGACAGCGAAGGTTTACCGAAGGAGATGTGGGTACCTTTTAAATGGGGAAGTATGACTGGAAATGATGACGCTTCAGCCACGCCTGGTTGCAACTTGGAGACTGTAAACATTATTACAATTGTGCTAAAAAAAACCCAACTATTTAAAATGTGACAAAGAAATACCTTTATGGGAAATAAAATGCTTAAAAATACAACAATGTACACTGAAGTAGTATTAAGAAAAAAGTCACATTTAAAGTCCTTTTTTGGGGCGTTTTTGTATTTGATGTTATAAAATATATATATTAATGATGTAATTTAGTGACAGCAGAAAAAGATTATAAAGATATGGATGATTATTTTCTGTATGTCTTCAAATAAAACGATCATGATTGTACAATTCTTGCCCTATATGAATATATTGACTTTTAAAAATGTCAAATAAACCAACTTCTGTTTTATTCTCATGCATTTGCTGTCGTTTTTTGTGTGTGCAAACTATATTGTGGGTTTATAATGAAGTTATTAGATGCAGCAATAATATATACTTTGACATGGATTAATTGGGCACTACAGTTAATTATAATTTTTAATGAAAAGCACAGACTGAAGAGCACTAATCTCGCACACTTGGCTCATATTACTCGTTTACAACATCACGATGCTTGCAAGTTCAATTTGCAGCTTGCCACTTGCAGCAAGTTAAGTGCTGCCAAACGCGGGTGTACCCACAATGCAAAGCAATGCTAGCTGGCCACTGGCAGAGAGAGACAGAGCAGCCTGGCTGGGAGCACACAAAAAAAAACAAAAAAAAAAAACAACAACAGGCTACTTTGCGAAGAAGGCAGCTGCATGGATATCGACAACAACGACGACCAGGATTCAACGCATGCATTGAGATTCCATTCAACCAAAATGCATCGTAGCCTTATAATGTGAGTACTGTGGCGTCTGAAGTGTTGCTCACCAGCTCGAGTGGTATATATATTAATCCGGTCCTTTAAGGGGGAAACTGTTTGCAGGCTAGCTGGTTAGCTCGCCAGCTATCTGCGTCTCTATGTTCGAGCGTCTTCCGGCAGCAGCGGCGGCAGCAGCGGTGCCATGAACAGTGGACTCCCAGCTTCAGCTGCTCCGCTCGGAGGTGCCGGGATACCAAATGTCAAGGTGAAGTTTTGCCGATATTACGCGAAGGACAAAACGTGCTTTTATGGAGACGAGTGTCAGTTCCTGCATGAGGATCCGTCCATGGCGAGTCTGTCGCTGCACGGCGGCGGCGGCGGCGGCACCCGTCCGTTGTCCATGGCGGGGTGGCGGGACCGCCCAGGCGGGGTATTCTGGCGGTCTGCGGCGGCCTGCCCGGGCAGCGGGGGGGCAGGAGGGTCCAAGAAGAGCGAAACAATGGGGCCTGCAGGCACGTCTCTGGAGGGGCAGCTGTTAACCAGTGAGTACAACCACACAAGGCCTCACACACACGGGGGGGGAGACTGTCTGTGACTTTACTTTTGGGCCTTGTTGGGCTTTGTTAAAATTGAGTCCGAGGATTCACTTGAGGCCTTTTTCTCGGTGCAAACAACGTGGGAGCCTCCGTGGGCAGATAGCACGGACGGGTGCTCTCATTATCCCTATTTATGTGCTGTTTTGTTGAATAGCTTTGTCTCCAGGTGGTCTTATTTAAGCCTGATAACAACATGTAACACTACCATGCTGTTGCAGCTCACCGGAGGAGGCCTGCTGTTGTGTGACAGCTGTGAGTGGGCACAAATAAACCCGCGACCCGCTGGAGTTAGCTGCTGGAGCTACTAGCCAGCTAGCGTTACATTTACCGCTTTAACTAACTTTAACGCGTTTGGCTTCGCTTTCTGAGTGGCGTTATCAGATTGTAGTACTGTTGCACTTAGTTTTTCTCCTGTTAAATGTTGTTGTAGTGTTGCTGTGACTGTGTACCGTGAATGCAGTGTTTGCTACCATTAGCGTAGCTACGCTAGCTGTCCACGGGGCATTGTTTTTGCCTTGTTGTTGTCGTGTTTTCCCAACGTAAACAAACAAGCAAGTGACCAACATTCACGTGCAGCTCAAACGTAAATTGTGTCCAGTTTAACTTGTTTCTTTAAAAAAAAAAAAAAGTTATTAAATGAAAGCCCTGTGGTTGACTGTAGTAGTGGCTCAACTGTTTACATGCATTTTAATCAACTCTGGACTGGTTAAGCAAACATATAGTAGTTTTGCTATTAACATGCATGCTTTATATACCTGGTCTGTGTTACAGTACAGCATCACTGCAGTTTAGTATTGGCTAAACTTGTGTTTCTGTCATCCACAGTCCCAGGGATGGAGGGCGCAACCCTGAGCGATGCCAATCTTACCAACTCATACTTCAGCAGCAGCTTTATTGGGGTCAATGGGTTTGGGAGCCCGGCTGAGTCTAAATACTCAATGATGCAGGTACAAAAGAGAAGCCGTAGATGTATATAATCAGTGTAAACTGCTTTGAAAATTGATGCCAGTGTGCTTACATTGTTGTTGTATGCTGCTTGTATAAATTGAGGCACTACATTCGTTGTTGGAGTATTTTGCATTCGGTTATTCATCATGTAGTTAATTTAAAATGTGTTTAACGTGTTGAATTCACAGCCATATTAAACGTACTGTATATGCACGTAGAGTAGAGCGCCGTCTGTAACGCAGCTGTTCTTGATGCCGCTCTGTTTAGCGAATGACTACCAGCAGCAGCTCTCCCAGTCTCCTCAACGACGGTGCCAAGAACTTCAGCCACAACACTCATGGTAAGACCGTGGAGCAGTATTCAGCACGTATCCGCAGAACATCGAAAGTGCCACTGCTCAACACTCTTTGGTCTTCCACAGATCCAGTGAACTCCCCGACATCCTCACTGTTCAGTGATTTTGGTGCTCTTAGCATTTCCCAAAGGAGAAAGGTGAGCACACAAGCATCCTGTCCAATACAGTGAACTTATTTCAAAGTGCTTTTAAAGTTCACTTCTGTACTTTTGTATGAGCAGGTAAATGGAATCTAACCAGAATGAATTTAATTTACGTTTTTCGTCTTTATTGCCTCCTAACAGGAGTGGTAGATTTCATGTCACCCTTGCATGTTTCCCCTTGTTCCACCAGACTCCTAACCCGGCAGCAACTGAGTTCATCCCTAAGGGAGCTCCACGTATGGCCACCATGGCTCAATCCACTGTCCAGGCCTTCCCCTCGCCTCTCTTCCCACATCCTGGCCTCAGCAGCTCCACAGCTGCTGCACTGGCTCCAGGTGAGGGTTTTTTTTGGAGCATTACCAATTGAGAAATCACACTGTTGTTTCTGCATTGCTCTACTTTCTACATGGCTCCCTTTTGTTTTTCATCTTTAGCTTTGAAATTGTATAGTTCAGCAAGTTTGGGACTTCCCTCTTGTGTATAGCACCACATGTTCTACTGATGAAACAAAAGTGTGTGAAGCACTTTGTAACGTGGGCTTAGAAAAATGAAGCAAACCTCTTTGGGTGCTACGCTCCTTTCAAATCTTTCACACCATTGCAGCCGGTGAATGCAGCATGCCCTCCCTTGAAGTAACATTTCCCTTTGTCTCTGATTTTAGGCATGTCTCTGTCTGCGGGATCTTCTCCTCTCCACTCCCCGAAAATTACACCGCACACCTCGCCTGCTCCTCGTCGGCGCAGTCACACCCCAAACCCTGCCAACTACATGGTGCCCACCACCGCATCTGACCAAGGCGCTCACATAATCCAGAAAGAGACTGTAGGAGGGACCACCTACTTCTACACAGATAACACCCCTGCACCTATAGCTGGGATGGTATGTGCGGCACACAGCATCCTACTCTGTATGTCTGTCAGGAAATATTTGCAGACTAAAGTTGTGAATACACTTTTAAAGTCCTAACCAAACCTCATACTGCCTTTAAAACTTGATCTGATCTAAGGTTCTTTTGGGAGGCTCCTGAATTCCTGCACACGCAACTACACTTCAGTCCTCCACGCCAGTGCAGACACATAAAAATATCTTTAAAAAAATCTGTCTTTGTGGCCAACTAGGGGTTCAAATCCTGATCAGAGTTTCGTTCCATCACGTTCATTTGCGTAGCTATGATTTAATAATTGGAAAAGACGATACATGTATGATCACACTGGTTTTCATTTCTCAATAAATAGGAAGCTGTGTTTTTCTGGTTTCATCGCAGGTGTTTCCTACCTACCATATCTATCCCCCCACTGTGCCCCACGTGGCTTACATGCAGCCGAAAGCCAATGCCCCGTCCTTCTTCATGGCTGATGAACTCCGACAGGTATTTTCCACTTGCCTTCTTCCCTTTTCACTAAATATCTCCTGTCTTCCTCTCCGGGGGTAATGTCTGATGTGATGCCCTCTTATTTTTCCTCCAGGAGTTGATAAACAGACATCTGATAACCATGGCCCAGATTGACCACTCAGAGAACCCAGGTAAAGGGTCTACTCTGTTGTCACAACAAAGGCTTGTTATTAATCTAAAACTTCTGCCTGTGTGTGCAGTAGAATTGGGCAGGCTTTCGATTACAACTCATGAAAGATGTGCTCCGTATCAAATAAGAGATCATTTTTATGCTCCATGGTTTGTTTGCAAGTAAACAAACATGCATTGCTTGGTTTTAAAGAAACATGCCAGTCTGTGTGTTAGTGTAGAGAGGTGTTGAAATGTAATATTTGTGGTCTCTGTGGGTTCTTCTTCCAGTTAACCACATCTTTTTTTTCTGTCTGTGTTTGTCATGCAATGGGCAACAACTGAACTGTAAATCTGGATTATGATATAGATGTGTGAAAACGAATTATCTATGAAATTAATCTATTGCTGGTCAATTACCGTTCAAATGGGCGATAACCTTGTGCAAACTTAAAGTTGTTGGATCTGTTTTTTTGATTGCATGTGTTTGTGCAGTAATGTGTTAGGTTTTTTTTTCTTCTGAAACCGCTTCTGTCTTTGGCAGATGTACCATCTGAGGTGGACAGCTACCACAGCCTGTTCCCCCTCGAAGCCCTCCCCCCACCAAACCGCATGCAGAAGACCAGCAA